TAAATATATATATACATATACATAAAACCATAAAACATACTTTGATTGCATATAATTCATGAATTAAGCCCCAGTAAAGCTTGGAATATTATTTTTATTTGAAAACTAATAGAACTCAAGAAAGAAGAACAATATAGACCTTTTACAAACAAGGTGATTACGACACTGTAGAAGCATATGTCACCCGGATTTAATCCATGTATGTTACATACAAGTATTGAATTATAATACTATGTCCCATAAGCATATAAACTTAGTAATGTATTACAATTATAAATGTACTAATATGTTTTGTAATAAGAAGAGCTCTAACACAAGTATGTCAGTAATTAAATTCACAAAAACAAATTAAATAAACTATTTCTTTTATTTCATTTGCTAGCAGCATCTTCATCTTGATTTACCAGTGGCATTTACCTTAAAGACTTATTGCCAAAGCACTTGGGCATATTTTAGATGTGATCTTAATTTATTAGAATGTGCCCTGAGGTAAACAGAGTTTTATACAACATTTCCTCTGACATCTTATAATGCCATTTTGACCATTTGGTCAAAATATGTGTCATATCCATATAAGGTACTGCAAATCCCATAATCTGAGAAAGGAAATGCTTAATGAAATTCAAAGAGTGAAGTAATATGCTCATGAGGAAAATAGAAGATGAAGAAACCAAACATTTTGCACAAGCATTAGCTTATGTTGTACAAGGTGACAAGTTATACAGATCCACTAAGTGCCACGTAGATTTTCATAATTTGAAAAAAAAATTGTTTTTATCCAAATAATTTAGTCCATGTTTTTACTCTAAAATACATATTATTAACTAAATTTACCATTTACATGTTTAGTTCCTCATAGACCTATATAATAAACAGGGATTTCCCTCAGTCTTTATCTTTCCTATATTATCACTTTGTTTTGCATATGATAAATTATCAAATTAGCATATTAATTTATGCTAGAATATTTTTTGAGACAGGGTCTCCTTGTAGCCCCAGATTGCCTAGAACACTTTATGTAGGCCAGACTGACCTCGATCTCACAGAGATCCACTCGCCTCTGTCTCCCAAGTGCTGGGATTAAAAGTACATTCCATCATGCTCAGGCTTATGTTAGATATATTTAAATACTTTTAAATAATTGCAAACATTTCTGCAATAATTTCTTCATAAGGACTTCCCTATCCATACACCCCATTCATAAACATTGAAACTTGACTACAATCAACATATTTGTAAAAATCAAAAGTTTATACTAAATATTATTCCTGAATTAACCAGTATAAGGAACAATGTATTGAGGGATTATCTATTTTTAGCTTTTGTTATCTAAGCTCAAAGATATCTCAAAACAGCAAATGAACTTCCTTCAGAATGGACTAGGCCCTTTGAGCAGAGAGCCCAATGTCAACCCTCATTGATATCTCCCTCTCACATCCAGTGAGCCTCCTCAAGGCCCCTCTGATATCTTTGTTTCTGAGGGTGTAGATGAGAGGGTTGAGGCTGGGTGTGACAACAGTGTAGAAGAGGGCAATGAACTTGCCTCGGTCTTGAGACTTTTCTGTTGGAGGCTGAAGATAAATACACATGATTGGGATGAAAAAGAGAGACACAACCATGAGATGGGCTCCACACGTCCCAAAGGCTTTCTGAAGTCCTGTGGTAGATTGCATCCTTAGAATAGCCCTAGCAATGGCCCCATAGGAGCTCAGGATGAGAATAAGTGGTATAACAACAAAAATAATGCTCATGACCATAAGAGTCATCTCATTGGCATGGACATTGACACAAGATAACTTCAACAGTGCTGGGACTTCACAGAAGAAGTGGTCCACTTTACGATGTCCACACCTGGGTACCCAAAACGTGAAGGAGGAATGAAATGCTGAGGTGATAAAGCCACTTACCCAACAGGCTGCAGCCATTTGGTGGCAGAAGCGAGGATTCATGAGGACAGGGTAATGCAAGGGTTTGCAGACAGCTGCATAGCGGTCATAGGACATCACCACCAACAGAACACACTCCGTGGTCCCCAGAGCAAGGACAAAGAAGAGTTGGAGCATGCACCCAGTATAAGATATGGTCTTCTCTGGGCCCCAGAGATTTACCAGCAACTGAGGAACAGAGCTAGTGGTATAGCAGAGATCAAGGGCTGAGAGGTTTGAGAGGAAGAAGTACATGGGGGTGTGCAGGTTGGTGTCCAAATGTGACAGGACGATGATGAACAGGTTTCCTGTTAATGTCATCAAGTAGAATATCAAGATCACCAGAAAGAGAATCACTTCCAAGTTAGGCCATTTAGAAAAGCCCAGAAGGACGAAGTAGTCTTCAGAACTTGCATTGATTTTTTGCACCATCGTTCATTTTTTCTCTAGATTTAATGTTCATTTCTAGGAAAATGTGAGTATTAAAAGTTTACAGCAATGGAATGAAAACACAATTTGTCAAAAAAGTCATATGCAAAAATAAAAGAATAATCAAATGTGTGGCTAAGGCAAAATTATTCTAATTACTAGAATGCTAACTATTATGATTTAAATTAATGATTTTAGAATGACTTGAATGAATGCAAAACTAGTTGGTAAGGATACCTAAGAGTAGTTTAGTTACATGGTGTGAACTATAATTTTGTGGATTACTTATTAATTACAAATTGAAAATTAATAAATTTCATAATAGATAAATTTAAATGGTGGATGCCTCCACAAATACATGATGAATGTCAACTCATGAATGTTGAGGCAAAGCATTTCTACATGACTGCTTGTGTGACACTCTAAACTGAATGAACATCTTATCACTGAAGAAAAAATCCCGCAAGGAAGATGGAAATGAATTTTAATAATAAAGCAACATGAGGCAGTAATGGATGATTGATGGTGATGATGATGATAAAGAGTGATGATAGATAGATGATAGGTAGATAGATAAATGATAGATCAATGTTAGATGATTGATGATAGATAGATGATTGATAGATAGATAGATAGATAGATAGATGATAGATAGATAGATAGATAGATGATAGATAGATAGATGATAGATTAGATAGATGATAGATGATAGATAGATAGATAGATAGATAAACAGATAGATTATAAATAGAGGAAGATAATAAATTGAGGTTGAAAATAGTTCCACAATATCACAAAAAGATAGATGAGCACAAGACAGATGACAGTTTGTTAAGTAAGCAAATGTTTTCATTAAAATGTGTGTACTAATATTCCATACAGATAAAAGGTAAATGGTTGTTTTCTGAACTCTGTAATTGTTCTGAAAGTTTTAAATATTGTATAATAAAATATCATTAAAAAGTAAAAAATCTTTTTTTTTGTCTCTGAGACAGGGTCTCTCTGCATCTCTAGCTGGCCTGGAACTCACTATGTAGACCAGGCTGGCCTCCATCTCACAGAGATCTGCCTGCCTCTGCCTCCAGAGTGCTGTGATTAAAGGCATGTGCCATCATGCCTGGGTCACAAAACCATTTTTATCCCACTTAGATTATTACATTTTACAGAAAAAACTAAATTGTTTTGCCTTTAAATCTCATCATTCATCTAGTGAAGCAATTGAATGCAAGAAAACTGAATAACTTTCTAAGTAGAGAGGAAATGTAATTTTCACCAAATAAAATATCCTAGTTAACAAGTAAATGACTTTAAATTTGCTTCCAGAAGTTTCAGGGGTTTTCCGTTTATATGAAAATAGAATATAATTGTAGTCCCAGTAACCATACAGATAAATGGCAGGAGAGAAGGGAACACATCAAAGTTAGTGGTGATTTTAAATTATGTTGTGTGAAATATATTAAGCATAATCAGATGTAGAGCAGAAAGAAATTGATTTTATGATTTGCTTACATACAGTCGAGCTTATTTACAACTGAGAAATAAAATGTAGATAGAAATATGGGCAGAAACCCATAGACACATCCACTAAGGCCATTAATGAAACGACAGAGCTGTGAACACTGGAGAAAAGTGTGTTTGCGTGCTTCCCATTGGCAGCAGAAAAGTTAGGGACAGTCGGCTTGGCCTGAGCAGTAAAGACAGTCTAATCTCTTAACACTAAAAAGTATACTCAATGTAAATAATCAATTCCTACAACTCACTGACCATTCACTCAGCACACTTTAAAAATATCTTTTCTAAAAGCTGTTAAGTGTACCCCAAATAACACTGTCATTTAATAGGCCAAGATTCCTTCAGTTATAACTCACTGCCAGTTGAAAGATGTTGAGAAATTTCCAGGAGATCTTTGTGAATTTCCTCAGAGTGGAGTATAATCCATCATGAGACACAGCAGTCACTTGCTCTCAGGCAGATGCAATCTTTTTCTTCCTCATAGTTTCCTATGTGATGTCACAAACTAACTTTAACCCAGTGGCTACTATGAGGTCTATATATTTCATGGATCATCATTAACAATCTTTTTAAGTTTTATTTTATTTTATTTATGTGTATGAGTGTATTGCCTGCCTGTGAGTGCAACCATGCCATGCAATGCAGCGGAAGTCAGAAGAGGGCTTTGGATTCCCCTGGAACTGGGGTTAAGGACGGTTCGTAGCCACCATGTGGGTGCTGGGAATCGAATCCAGGTCCTCTGCAAGAGAGGTCAGTGCTCTTAACCACTGAGCCATCTCTCCAGCCCCTGCAATCTCTTAAGGAGAGATTTCATCAGAGTTATCTGATAGGGATGCCAAAACATCAGGTACACAAAATAAAATCAGCAACTTATGGGTTTATTTTCTCTTGGAGTGAGGAGAATAAAGACCTTACAAAAAATTTTTTCATGAGCTGAGGATATATTCTCTTCTCTGGGATTTGAAGTTATTGTTGGAGAGGGAAATGGTGGGTATTCCTTATGCCCAGACTGGCCATTCTCTGATCCTGAGCCTCTGAATCTTACACCCTACCTGGAACTCAAGCAGCGCTGAAATCCCAGTCACTCCCATTGGAGACTTTCCGAATTCCCTGTGCTTCTTCCCTTTCCATTTCTCACCATGTTGAATGACCAGATGACTGGTGTTGGGCACCTTGCGGGCACTAGCTTAAAACAGTGCCTCACCTTATTCTGACCTATTGCATCAGACTAGGAAAGCAGAATCTGAAAGCACTGTGATCATCACCACCACAGAAAAGAGAGACCTGAGGCTAGTGAGTATTTGTTTGTAGTCAGAGGCAGAAACTCAGCATTTAGTGTATCAGGGAAACGGGTTTATTTGAGACCAAAAATGGGGATTGTGGAAACAAAGAAGTACCTGACTTGATTACTTTCACTGGATCACTGGGAGTATAAATCCCATAGAGTCAATTAACTAACACTCTTCAGGGATCTTCACAGGTTACACATTTCCCAGCATTGTCCTCCCCTTGACATCACCTTTGAAACAAAGATGCACAAAATTCTGGTCCAGCCATCACTTATAAGAAATATTCTGAGCAGTGTTTACAGGAAAGAGGATGGATTGTCCAACTGTTCTGAAATCTTCTGAGTCCTCATCATGCTGTGGGGTAAATTTGGCATCAAACAACAGGAGTGTCTCTGTTTAACATAGATTATAGATTCAAATGAATTCTAACATTAAAACTGGATGTTTTAAACATAATTCTAGAACTGACATCCAAGTTTTAAACATCAACATAAAATCAATTAAGTTTTTTTTGAAAGGGTCTCCCTGTAGCCACAGCTGGCCTGAAACTCATGCGTAGACCAGGCTGGCATTGATCTCATAGAGATCTGCCTGCCTCTGTCTCCTGAGTGTTATACTTAAAGGCATTATTCACTCAACCCCACAAAATCAATTAGTTTATAGAAGTTGGATTTTATAATTACTTTTTGTTAAGTTAATATTTTGATAATCCAAATTAATAATTAATAGTAAAAAATAAACACATGTGGGAATAAGAGGTCACATTGACTATTCTGGAATTTCTTTGTGCATAATCAAATCTAAGTAAATAATTAGAAGGGACATTTATGTTATTCCAAACAAAAAACAAGCTGTAACACAAATACACACAGAAAATAATTTTTGACTGTGTCATTTTCTGAGACCACTGGATACTGTGATAGTTTGCAAAAATATAACCTCACAAATTTGAAAGTATCATGTGTAGTTGAATCATGGATATTTATAAACTAGGAATTGTTGTCTAATAGAGTCCCAGAAGACTCCAAAACTATGGAGGTTTTCACCACTGCCAATGATGACCCAACAGAAATGGATGAGTAGATCATACTGCTGAAAACAACATAAACCTTGCAGAAATCAGAGAAACTTTGCTGGAACTGCTGACTATCATTCACGGTGCTGGAAGTTGCTATGCAGACAGTTAGGGGAGAAAAGTCAACAATGGTGGACCCCACCTTTAGCTCTTGTTTGCTATAATAACAACTTGCTAGGCAGGAGGTACTTACTAATACCATTGAGGCATAACTGTTACGGGTGTAACTAACTGATTTCTGACTGGATCTGAAGCACACTCTATAGGATTTAGTTTATGCCAGTACTGGGGACCTGGTTGGAGGCCCATTGCTAGGAAGCCCTTGGGCATGAGGTTGAACCTACTACTTTTTTTTTCTTTTTTCTAAATCAGCATGTTGTTGAACTTCCTCTTAAATACCCATAGACTAGTGCTGTTCTCAGCCAAGATCAAAGGAGCTTCTATTTGCAGCAAAAGGCTCTAACTGACACATTTACAATACAACCTCTACACCCAAGATTCAGGGACCATCAGGGAAGAGGGGATAGAAAAACTCTTAAGAGCCAGAGGAACAGGAGATATATATATGTTGTAAAACAATGATAAAGAGGAGGACAAGAAATGGAGAGGGAGCTGGTGGGGGAAATAGGGAAATGGAAATGATGCAAATGCAAAACTCTTGCATGAAATTATCAAAAAATTAAATATTTAAAATAACAGATTTCTGAAAAAGTGTAAAACAATAAATTTAAATTTTGTACATACACATAGCCCGCAAACACACACTGAACTCCACCATTCACACAAAGCAGAAATACAGAGACACCAGGGGAGGGAGTGAGGAAGGTAAAGTGAGAGACAGATCCTCAGATGTGAAATAATTATTCTAATAATTTCACATTATTGAAGGTTCATTTCTTAGCCTTGTATAGGAAGAAATACAGACATTTAAGTTTTATGATTCAAAACAGAATTTTTACAAAATTTGTGTACAAAGTCATTACAGAGAGCAGATATTCAGAGTGCTTTCTGAAAATTGTCCTTCCTGTGACTAGTTGTATATATGGTGTCCAGTGTAAGTGTGGTCTCCACAGGTGTGTATCCAAATAAATGTGAGAATAAAAATTGCATATGTAATGAACATTAGT